TCTTCTATCTACAGTGCCTTTCGGAAAGTATTCAGACCCCTTGACTTTTTCCACATTTTGTTAGGTTACAGCCTTATTCTAAAATTGATTAAATAGTTTTTTTTCTCATCAATCTACACACAATACCCCATACTGACAAAGCAAAAACAGGTTTTTAGATTTTTTGCTTATTTATATATATTTAAAAAAATGAAATATCACATTTACATAAGTATTCAGACCCTTTACTCAGTACTTTGTTGAAGCACCTTTGGCAGTGATTACACCCTCGAGTATTCTTGGGTATGACGCTACAAGCTTGGCACACCTGTATTTGGGGAGTTTCTCCCATTCTTCTCTGCAGATTCTCTCAAGCTCTGTCAGGTTGGATGGGTAGCGTTGCTGCACAGCTATTTTCAGGTCTCTCCAGAGATGTTCGATCAGGTTCAAGTCCGGGCTCTGGCTGGGCCACTCAAGGACATTCAGAGACTTCTCCCAAAGTCACTCCTGCGTTGTCTTGGCTGTGTGCTCAGGGTCATTGTCCTATTGAAAGGTGAACCTTCACCCCAGTCTGAAGTCCTGAGTGCTCTGGAGCAAGTTTTCATCTTTACCTCGAGCCTGACTAGTCTCCCAGTGCCTGCCGCTGAAAAACATCCCCACAGCATGATGCTGCCACCACCATGCTTCACCGTAGGGATGGTGCCAGGTTTCCTCCAGACGTGACACTTGGCATTCAGGCCAAAGAGTTCAATCTTGGTTTCATCAGACAAGAGAATCTTGTTTATCATGGTCTGAGAGTCTTTAGGTGCCTTTTGGCAAACTCCAAGCGGGCTGTCATTTGTCTTATACTGAGGAGTGGCTTCCGTCTGGCCACTCTACCATAAAGGCCTGATTGGTGGAGTGCTGCAGAGATGGTTGTCCTTCTGGAAGGTTCTCCCATCTCCACAGAGGAAGTCTGGAGCGCTGTCAGAGTGACCATTGGGTTCTTGGTCACCTCCCTGACCAAGGCCCTTCTCCCCCGATTGCTCAGTCTTGGAGGTTCCAAACTTCTTCCATTTAAGAATGATGGAGGCCGGGGCCTCCCGAGTGGCGCAGCGGTCTATGGCATTGCATCGCAGTGTTAGCTCCGTTACTACAGATCCTGGTTCGATACCAGGCTGTGTCATAGCCGGATGCGACCGGGAGACCCATGAGGTGATGCATAATTGGCCCAGCATCGTCCGGGTTAGGGGAGGGTTCGGCCGGCCGGGATGTCCTTGTCCTATCGCGCTCTAGCGACTACTGTGGCAGGCCGGGCGCATGCACGCTGACACGGTCGCCAGGTGTACGGTATTTCCTCCGACACAGTGGTGCGGCTGGCTTCTGGGTTAAGCGTGCATTGTGTCAAGAAGCAGTGTGGCTTGGCGGGGTTGTGTTTCGGAGGACGCACGGCTCTCGATCTTCGCCTCTCCCGAGTCCGTACGGGAGTGTGTATATATATATATATATATATATACACATATATATATATATATACACATATATATATATATATATACACATACAGTGGGGAAAAAAGTATTTAGTCAGCCACCAATTGTGCAAGTTCTCCCACTTAAAAAGATGAGAGGCCTGTAATTTTCATTATAGGTACACGTCAACTATGACAGACAAAACATCCAGAAAATCACATTGTAGTATTTGTAATGAATTTATTTGCAAATTATGGTGGAAAATAAGTATTTGGTCAATAACAAAAGTTTCTCAATACTTTGTTATATACCCTTTGTTGGTAATGACACAGGTCAAACGTTTTCTATAAGTCTTCACAAGGTTTTCACACACTTTTGCTGGTATTTTGGCCCATTCCTCCATGCAGATCTCCTCTAGAGCAGTGATGTTTTGGGGCTGTCGCTGGGCAACACAGACTTTCAACTCCCTCCAAAGATTTTCTATGGGGTTGAGATCTGGAGACTGGCTAGGCCACTCCAGGACCTTGAAATGCTTCTTACGAAGCCACTCCTTCGTTGCCCGGGCGGTGTGTTTGGGATCATTGTCATGCTGAAAGACCCAGCCACGTTTCATCTTCAATGCCCTTGCTGATGGAAGGAGGTTTTCACTCAAAATCTCACGATACTTGGCCCCATTCATTCTTTCCTTTACACGGATCAGTCGTCCTGGTCCCTTTGCCGAAAAACAGCCCCAAAGCATGATGTTTCCACCCCCATGCTTCACAGTAGGTATGGTGTTCTTTGGATGCAACTCAGCATTCTTTGTCCTCCAAACACGACGAGTTGAGTTTTTACCAAAAGTTATATTTTGGTTTCATCTGACCATATGACATTCTCCCAATCCTCTTCTGGATCATCCAAATGCATTCTAGCAAACTTCAGACGGGCCTGGACATGTACTGGCTTAAGCAGGGGGACACGTCTGGCACTGCAGGATATGAGTCCCTGGCGGCGTAGTGTATTACTGATGGTAGGCTTTGTTACTTTGGTCCCAGCTCTCTGCAGGTCATTCACTAGGTCCCCCTGTGTGGTTCTGGGATTTTTGCTCACCGTTCTTGTGATCATTTTGACCCCACGGGGTGAGATCTTGTGTGGAGCCCCAGATCGAGGGAGATTATCAGTGGTTTTGTATGTCTTCCATTTCCTAATAATTACTCCCACAATTGATTTCTTCAAACCAAGCTGCTTACCTATTGCAGATTCAGTCTTCCCAGCCTGGTGCAGGTCTACAATTTTGTTTCTGGTGTCCTTTGACAGCTCTTTGGTCTTGGCCATAGTGGAGTTTGGAGTGTGACTGTTTGAGGTTGTGGACAGGTGTCTTTTATACTGATAACAAGTTCAAACAGGTGCCATTACTACAGGTAACGAGTGGAGGACAGAGGAGCCTCTTAAAGAAGAAGTTACAGGTCTGTGAGAGCCAGAAATCTTGCTTGTTTGTAGGTGACCAAATACTTATTTTCCACCATAATTTGCAAATAAATTCATTAAAAATCCTACAATGTTATTTTCTGGATTTATTTTTCTTAATTTGTCTGTCATAGTTGACGTGTACCTATGATGAAAATTACAGGCCTCTCTCATCTTTTTAAGTGGGAGAACTTGCACAATTGGTGGCTGACTAAATACTTTTTCCCCCCACTGTATATGTGTGTGTATGTGTATATATATATATATGTGTGTATATAATATATGTGTATATATATATGATATAATATATATATATATATATATATAGATATATCTATTTTATATATATCTATATATATATATGTGTATATATATATCTATATATATTATATCTGTATATTATATTATCTGTATATGTTATATATATATATATGTATATATTATATGTATTATATAGTTATATATATATATATATTAGGGCTGTCAACTGATTAAATTTTAATCAAATTAATCAGAATTTTCAGTGGATTAATCATGATTAATCACTATTTGCAATTACACCTGAATCCTAACCATTTTTTTTTTGAAATGCATACCAAAGATAAATAACAGGACACAGATACATAATTTTCATATTATGTTGTTTATTAACACAGCCAAATAATGGTGTTTTAAATCAAGCTGAAACATACTACACACCATAATATTTGTCTTTGGCTGTGGCTCTTGACGGTGGCTTATAGAATGAGTCTTGAGACGCCACTTGCAAAACATCAAGGAAACCTGAGTCTTCTACAATGCTAATGGGTCTACAATCCTTTGCAATCCATTTTGCTATGGTTGGTCAAATTATCTGAGGTTGATTTTGTTAATTGCCTGCAAACATTCAGCGTGGTCTGGCGCAAACCACTTGCTGAATCTGACGGCCCAGCAAACGCATGTTTGGCGTTGACGTGGTACTTCAAGCTTGAACAGCTCCGGTGAAATTGAAACTCCTCTTACAAATCTTGCAAATAACCTTGTACTTGTTAACTGTACCATCATCATTCTTTTTATATTTGAATCCGTCAATAGGCCCACTTTGCTCACCTTGCTCCATCTCGCCTCTAGCTCCCAACCACTTTCCTGACCTGAATAATTTGTCACACTGCGCATGCGTGAAATGCGTTAAAAAATTGACGTAATTAACAGCAACAACTAATTACAGTCGTTAACGCGCTATTTTGACAGCCCTAATATATATATATGTAATATAATATATATGTATATATATATATGATATAATGTAGTATGTGTGTATGTGTATATAGATAGGGATCTCATATATGGTGACTCTCTATTCATGTGGGTTATACTTTGTGGTGGACAGGGGCATGTGAAAAGGTAAGGGGTTAAAATGGAGGGGTGAAAGTTTTGGTGTGGTCCGGGGGGATGGTAGAAGAGGGGTGGAGGGTGGGGTCTACTCTCAAGAGTGGGGGGGGGGGTGGGAGTCGAGAAAGAAGAGGAGTAGAAAAGAAAGACACAGACCACCAGACCCACACCAACCCCGAGAATCTACACTTAAAACCCCGGAGAAATTTTTGTGACACTATACTCAAGACCCACAGACAAACACATATATATATATATATATATATATATATAGATATATTATATATATACTATATTATATAGTATATATATATATATTATATATATATATATATAGATATATACTACACCACACACACACACACAAAACACAAAATATGATGGAGGCCACTGTGTTCTTGGGGACCTTCAATGTTGCAGCTCAATTTCGAGTCTCATAGCAAAGGGTCTGAATACTTAGATATTTCTGTTTTTGTTTTTTTACACATTTGCTAAAATGTCTAAAAACCTGTTTTCACTGTCATTATGGGGTATTGTGTGTAGATTGCTGAGGATTTGTATTTATTTCATCCATTTTAGAATATATCTGTAACGTAACAAAATGTGGAAAAAGTCAATGGGTCTGAATACTTTCCGAAGGCACTATATACTCGTATGTCAAGGCAAAACACTAAACATAGGTTTAGATTGTTATTGCACAATTGATTAAAAACTGGGATATAAATCATTACTTGCTGCATTCCCAGTTCTGCCTGTAACCTTTAACTACAGGACAGATAAGGGATCTTCCTTGCGATGCTAAGTGCTGAAAGTGACATGAAAAAGTACAGAGTCATCCTGCTCTTTATCATCGGTGGATGGGAGGGAAAATCGAAGATGGGATGTCAAATGTGTTACCTACCCGACCTTTGACCTTAACTCTATCCCTTGTCTGGTCTGCAGGTGATAATCCGCATGTGTAAGATCATCGATAAGACGTGTCTGTCTCCCACACCCACCCTGGAGCAACACCTGATGTGGGATGATATCGCCATCCTGGCCCGCTACATGCTCATGCTGTCCTTCAACAACTCTCTGGACGTGGCCACTCACCTGCCCTACCTGTTCCACGTGGTCACTCTGCTGGTGGCCACCGGCCCCCTGTCCCTCCGCGCCTCCACACACGGCCTGGTCATCAACATAATCCACTCCCTCTGTACCTGCTCCCAGCTCAACTTCAGTGGTGAGGAGGCCACACAAACAGCACCCTGGCCCTGGCTGTAGAGAGGACAGACAGACAGACAAAGATAGTGAGAAGTGAAATGATTAAAAGGCAGAGGGTTGATGAGTGTCATGTCTTGATTCAGTGTTTTGAAAGTAGATGGATAGCTAGAGATGTACACTTTTGGGGGAGAGATTTTTCATTGATGTACTGTATGGCCTTGCGAGACTCACTGATAACTATTCCCCTGTGTGCTTCTCTCTTCCAGAGGAGACCAAGCAGGTCCTAAGGCTGAGCCTGACAGAGTTCTCCCTGCCTAAGTTCTACCTGCTGTTTGGCATCAGTAAGGTCAAGTCTGCTGCGGTCATCGCCTTCCGCTCCAGCTACCGCGATCGCTCCTTCTCCCCCGGGTCATACGAGAGGGAGACCTTTGCCCTGTCCTCCCTGGAGACAGTCACAGAGGCCCTGCTGGAGATCATGGAGGTCAGGAGATCACCCCACTGACATCGTCACTCATTATTCCATCGTCACTATAGCATGAAACTACTGACTGTACCGGTTTAGATGCTGGGTGAACACCAACCAAATTGTATATTCTACTTGCCTTCAAATATATCCAGTCTAGCATACAAAATGCTCGAAATGTGTTTCCTCTTTTCCACAAGGCCTGTATGAGGGATATCCCTGGCTGTAAGTGGCTGGACCAGTGGACAGAGCTGGCTCAGAGGTATGGCAACCACACACCACCATTTACCCTCTTCAGTGGCGCCAACCACACTGTCCGCTCTAAATCAATTATCTGTTGCTTATCTTACTATTGGTGCTAATGTCAGAGCTATGTAAAGAGGCTTCAGACCACTTACATAAAAATAAAAAATAAAAATGTTTTAGTCATTTAGCATACGCTCTTATCCAAAGTGACTTACAGGAGCAATTCGGGTTAAGTGCCTTGCTCAAGGGCACATAGACAGATTTTTCACCTAGTCGGCTCGTGGATTCGAACCAGCGACATTTCGGTTACTGGCCCAACTCTCTTAACCGCTAGGCTACCTGCCTCCCTCAACTTGACTGGCTTTTATAAGGCATGCGTGTGAATGGAGTCTGTGTATTCATCATTCTCTCCCTCTCCCTCTCCCTCCATCCCCTTATACCTCTCTCCTCCCCCTCTATCCCAATCTCCCCTCCCTCCCTCCGTCAGGTTTGCCTTCCAGTACAACCCGTCCCTGCAGCCCAGAGCCCTGGTGGTGTTTGGCTGCATCAGTAAGAGGGTGACCCACGGCCAGATCAAACAGATCATCAGGATTCTCAGCAAGGCCAGCCCCCTGCTCAGCATAGACCGGGTCTGTGTCCCATCACTCTGCCCTGTTCCTCGCTATGTTCTATCATGCATAGAATTAGGACATGCATCTCATTGAAACCACTTCTTGAATGACTGTACTGTATCTTGTAAAAACAAACAATTGTCAGTGCAAAAAAAAAAAAGCTGTGCTGTTGTCAAAATAGATTCTATCACTTCAAGGAACTGCGCTTGCATCTCGTGCCCTTTTTATCTGCTAAGTGGCATTCTAAATCCACAGAAATGATCGTTACTCTCGTGTGAACGTTGCAAGTCTTCTAATAGATTCTGCTACAAGTATTGGAAGTAGTTGTGAATGCTGGAGCAGTGTCTGATCCTGTCTCATTAGGGTCTGTCTGTTGAAAGGTGCTGTGTGTAGCATAACCTGTGCTGCGCAGACAGAACTGACCTGTTGTCTTTTGTCTGTCCATAGGGTCTGGAGAGTTGTCTAAAGGGACCTGATAACTACAACAGCCAGGTGTTGATAGAAGCCACAGTAATCGCTCTCACCAAGCTACAGCCTCTCCTCAACAAGGTACAGACACAGATGGCCGATCTCAAAGTATCATTTAGGAGATGGATGTGTTAAATGTTCTGGTGAGCTAACTTATTTGTGTGTGTGTGTATATGAACCACATTCTAATAAGTATAACCCAAAGCTCCTTCTGACACGCAGAGAGGAGGGAAGTTATTTTGGCCCTGGCTGTATGTGTTTAAATAGGCTGCTGTCAGACGATAGATGGTGGCAGTAAATGGTCATGTGAGACTCTCTCTGACTGCAAGTGTGTTTGTTGGCGCCTCACCACAGCTCGCCTATGCACAGGGCCCTGTGTTTGTGTGTGTGTGTGTGTGTGTGTGTGTGTGTGTGTTGGATGGGAGTGGTGGTGAGGCTAAATAACAGCCTGTGTGTTTCCTCCAGGACTCCCCCATGCACAAGGCTCTGTTCTGGGTGGCCGTGGCTGTGCTCCAGCTGGACGAGGTCAACCTCTACTCTGCCGGCACCGCCCTGCTGGAGCAGAACCTCCACACTCTGGACAGCCTCAGGGTATTCAACGACAAGGTACTAAACACACAAACATACGGTAACAAACACACACCTTTTCAAAAGGATGGTCTTCCACAAACCTTCACTTTGATTTCATTATTTTCCCTAACTAAAATTGTAGATGTTTTAAACCCTATGTGTCCCTCTTCTTTTTCCCTGTAGAGTCCAGAGGAGGTGTTTATGGAGATCAGGAAGCCTCTGGAGTGGCACTGTAAACAGATGGACCACTTTGTGGGCCTCAACTTCAATTCCAACTTCAACTTTGCACTAGTGGGTCACCTGTTGAAAGGTAAGTAGGCAGAGGTGTCTAAGCATTGGGTCGGTAGGGGACTGCATGGTTGAGCTCTTTGTCTCTAACCAACCACCTCTCTGTCCAGGGTACAGACACCCCTCCCCCAACACAGTGGCGCGGACCATCCGGATTCTCCACACACTGCTGGCCCTGGTGGGAAAACACCTCAACTGTGACAAGTTTGAGGTGAACACCCAGAGTGTGGCCTACCTGGCAGGTGAGTTCTGTAGGGATCCCCAATGAAGCCATTATTAGAGTGTTTTGCATCTTCAGGATGCCCATGTTCATATTGACTTTAAACAATAGTGATTTTCATGTATATTCTTTATTTGCATGTCAACGGTTTCTGCGTAGAAAACAAACTGATCTCGTAGTGAAATGATGCGTTTCTGTGTGTGTAGCTCTCCTCACTGTTTCGGAGGAGGTCCGCAGCCGCTGCAGCCTCAAGCACAGGAAGTCCCTGCTCCTCTCGGAAGTTACCATGGAGAATGTTCCCATGGACACGTACTCTGTGCACCACAGCGACCCCTGCTGCAGGTGACTGACTCTACAGGGCTGCCTGCTGAGAGAGCAGCTGACTAAGATGAATTCTACCTCTCTGTCAAAAAGGAATTGTATGGACAATATGTGTTCACCTTTCAGAATGTTTTGTTTTTCTCTCCCTCTGTGTCAGGACTCTTCGGGAGAGTCAGCCGTGGACGTCCCCCAAGGTGTCGGAACGCTACCTAGTGGCTCACTACTCCTCGGTGGGGCAGATCAGCCCCCGCACACGCAAGTCCATGAGCCTGGACATGGGCCAGCCTTCCCAGGCAAACACTAAGAAACTGCTGGGTAAGACACCTGTCAATCGTTCTGCACTGCTAGAGACCAACAGAAGAGTTTTAACATGAGAGAACTGGTCAGAGGGACTTTATAGACATTCTTACATGATGACTTAGATATCCATAGATGATCCACCAGGTCTGTGCTATTTTAGGTGTTGTTATTGTTTAAGTGAATTGACCTGTGTGTGTATGCCCCATTGTTTAACATGACCGTCATGTATTTTTCTATGCTGGCTCACCAGGCACTAGGAAGAGTTTTGATCACTTGATATCAGACAACAAAGCACCAAAGAGGCCAGATATGGAGTCTGGCATCACTACGCCTCCAAAGATGAGGAGGGTGGCGGAGAACGATTATGAAATAGGTGAGTGTCCAGGTCAGTGTCTGTCTCCTCTTCACCTGACACTTACATGATGTTTGTGGCATGGATGTTAGAGCTTTGACACTGACTGTCTCTATCTCTCTCTCTCCATCCCACAGAATCCACCCAAAGAATCTCCCATCACACCCTGAGGAAGGTGTCTGTGTCAGAGTCCAATGTGCTGCTGGATGAAGAGGTCCTCACAGACCCCAAGATCCAGGCTCTGCTGCTCACGGTCCTGGTGAGACCACTCACTCAGCTCTCCTCCTTCACCTCTGTCTTTCTCTGTCTCTCTTAACTTCCCTCTCTCACAGTTCCTCTTCATTAGTTTGTGCCTATTTCTAACATGCTGGTGTGAACGATCTAACTGTTCCTTTCTGTCTTGGCTCTATGCTACAGGCTACGTTGGTGAAGAATACAACAGATGATTTTGACCAGAGAATCCTCTACGAGTTTTTAGCTGAAGCTAGTGTTGTCTTCCCTAGGGTATTTCCAGTTGTGTAAGTGTTTCATTTCAACCCAATAAAGCCATTAACAAATATCTATATATATATTACAGTGCCTTCGGAAAGTATTCAGACCCCTTGACCTTTTCCACAATTTGTTACGTTACAGTCTTATTCTAAAATGGATTAAATAAAACATTTTCCTCAATCTATACACAATACCCCAAAATGACAATGCGAAAACCGGTTGTTAGACATTTTTGCAAATGTATTAAAAATAAAAAATTGAAATACCTTACTTACATAAATATTCAGACCCTTTGCTATGAGACTCGAAATTGAGCTGAGGTGTATCCTGTTTCCATTGATCATCCTTGAGATGTTTCTACAACTTGATTGGAGTCCACCTGTGGTCAATTCAATTGATTGAAAAGGCACACACCTGTGCATGTCAGAGCAAAAACCAAGCCATGAGGTTGAAGGAATTGTCCGTAGAGCTCCGAGACAGGATTGTGTCGAGGCACAGATCTGGGGAAGGGTACCAAAAAATGTCTGCAGCATTGAAGGTTCCCAAGAACACAGTGGCCTCCATCATTCTTAAATGGAAGAAGTTTGGAACCACCAAGACTCTTCCTAGAGCTGGCCGCCTGGCCAATCTGAGAAATCAGGGGAGAAGGGCCTTGGTCAGGGAGGTGATAAAGAACCCGATGGTCACTGACAGAGCTCCAGAGTTCCTCTGTGGAGATGGGAGAACCTTCCAGAAGGACAAACATCTCTGCAGCACTCCACCAATCAGCCAGACGGAAGCCACTCCTCAGTAAAAGGCACATGACAGCACGCTTGAAGTTTGCCAAAAGGCACCTAAAGGACTCTCAGACCATGAGAAACAAGATTCTCTGGTCTGATGAAACTAAGATTGAACTCTTTGGCCTGAATGCCAAGCGTCACGTCTGGAGGAAACCTGGCACCATCCCTACGGTGAAGCATGGTGGTGGCAGCATCATGCTGTGGGGATGATTTTCAGCGGCAGGGAAACTAGTCAAGATCTAGGGAAAGATGAACGGAGCGAAGTACAGAGAGCTCAGGACCTCAGACTGGGATGAAGGTTCACCTTCCAACAGGACAACGACCCTAAGCACACAGCTAAGACAATGCAGGAGTGGCTTCGGGACAAGTCTCTGAATGCCCTTGAGTGGCCCAGCATGGCTACCACAGCATTCTGCAGCGATACGCCATCCCATCTGGTTTGGGCTTAGTGGGACTATCATTTGTTTTTCAACAGGACAATGACCCAACACACCTCCAGGCTGTGTAAGGGCTATTTGACAAAGAAGGAGAGTGATGGAGTGCTGCATCAGATGACCTGGCCTCCACAATCCCCCGACCTCAACCCAACTGAGATGGTTTGGGATGAGTCGGACCGCAGAGTGAAGGAAAAGCAGCCAACAAGTGCTCAGCATATGTGGGAACTCCTTCAAGACTGTTGTAAAAGCATTCCAGGTGAAGCTGGTTGAGAGAATGCCAAGAGTGTGCAAAGCTGTCATCAAGGCAAAGGGTGGCTATTTGAAGAATCTCAAATTTAAAATACATTTACTTTTTTGGTTACTACATGATTCCATATTTGTTATTTCATAGTTTTGATGTCTTCACTATTATTCTACAATGTAAAAAATAGTAAAAATAAAGAAAAACCCTTGAATGAATAGGTGTGTCCAAACTTTTGACTGGTAGTATGTATGTATGTATGTATGTGTACGTGTGTATATATATATATATATATATTCCAGTTAGTGTGTACACATGCATAAGTAAGCCTCATCCTTCATATCATGTTGTGGTCTTCTCTCCAGTCACAACCTGCTGGACTCGAAGATCAACACCCTCTTATCACTGTGCCAGGACCCTAACCTCCTAAACCCCATCCATGGCATCGTGCAGAGTGTGGTGTACCACGAGGAGTCACCCCCCCAGTACCAGCCCTCCTACCTGCAGAGTGAGAGCACACCCACTTCTTTCCCTCTCCAAGCTCCACACACACACAAAAAATACCATTACAGTTACAACTATGGGTTCTGTGGTGAAAATGCCCATTTAATACTCACCTGTGTTTCTTCACTTTCTCTCTCAGGCTTTGGGTTTAATGGTCTATGGAGATTCGCTGGGCCCTTCTCAAAGGTGAGCAGACACAAATAATTTGCCTCTTTAGAGTATGGAAGGTTTATTGTCAGTGTTTGTAACTTCCTTTCCATTCTGCCTGTGCCAACAGCAAACCCAGATCCCGGACTACGCTGAGCTGATAGTGAAGTTTCTGGATGCATTGATTGACACGTATCTGCCAGGGATCGACGAGGAGACGAGCGAGGAGTGTCTGCGTACGCCCACGTCGCCCTACCCCCCGCCCGTCCAGAGCCAGCTCAGCATCACAGCCAACCTCAACCTCTCCAACTCCATGACCTCACTGGCCACTTCCCAGCACTCCCCAGGTCTGCACACAGATACAGTACACACACACAGTCAGCCAAATCCAGCCATTCTGTCTCTTGGCAGTTGTTATTCTTTCAAATTACACTAGCTGTGATGCTTTACAGTGGCCTCCATCTCAAACTAAAGAGACATTTGACCCACTGACCAATTTGTGTTTTCTCATCATAATAATATTCTGGCCTTTTTGGTCTTTCCATTTGACCAATCAAGAGAATCAACATGCATTTACATTTTACATTTTAATCATTTAGCAGACGCTATTATCCAGAGCGACTTACAGTTAGTGAGTGCATACATTTTTCATACTGGCCCCCTGTGGGAATCGAACCCACAACCCTGGAGTTGCAAGCGCCATTCTCTACCAACTGAGCTACAGGAGACATGCACTAACGAATACATAGAATTAAAGAGAAATATAAAGTATCCATCCATTTCCCACTGAATTCAACCTCACCTGAAAAGTTCCATCCACTATATTTAAGTAATAATGCCAGAGGGGGTGTGGTATATGGCCAATATACCACAGCTAAGGGCTGTTCTTAAGCACGACGCAACACGGAGTGCCTGGATACATCCTTTAACCGTGGTGTATTGGCCATATACCACAAACCCCTGAGGTTATATCAGTAAAAATAAATGTTTTGTCATACCCGTGATATACCACGGATGTAAGCCAATCAGAATTCAGGGCTCGAACCACCCAGTTTATATGTAGCGTTAAATAGTGGGTTCACCAACCTGGTCCAGGCTGATTCTCTCTCTTTAACCCACTACTGCATGATGTTCTAGCTCATATTTTATTATTTTGTGTTCATCATACATATTCCATTTTCTTCCTCATTTGTTGTGCTGGATGCGGTGTAGTTTATAGACGATCTCCAACTTTGTCCCATTTGAGGTCCCCCGATGTGGTGCCCCCCAAAATGATGGGTACAATTAGAAACTATAGAGCTGCAATGGGCAAATAGTGGCTCAGCCTATAATATGTGCAAAACTTATGTATGTCTTGTAATGTCATGTCTTAACCATTTATTCAATTTTTATACTTTTGGAAATGTTTCATTATTTGTTTTCTTCATTTAAGAAATTTTTGTAATTTCTGCTATGCCACTATTTGGATATCGCTTTTCTCATGATTTATTTATCTGTCACTCCTTTGTTAAGTTGGGTTAAGTTTTGTTTTTGTTAATCATGTTGCTCTTGTTGCTCATTGATGTCAATCTTCTTTTTGGGTTGCCATCGTCACTCACTCCTGTTTCTTTTCCACTCTGTGTCTGTGAAGCTTCTCTGCCTTGCTCTAAGTCCGCCGTTTTCAACCCACACCTCGTCCGGCCAGGTATTACTGCCCCTCGTCCCCATGCTGCTCCTGACTCCCAGGCACACGGCACAGCCCCTCGTCCCCATGCTGCTCCTGACTCCCAGGCACACGGCACAGCCCCTCGTCCCCATGCTGCTCCTCCCTCCCAGGCACACGGCACAGCCCCTCGTCCCCATGCTGCTCCTGACTCCCAGGCACACGGCACAGCCCCTCGTCCCCATGCTGCTCCTCCCTCCCAGGCACACGGCACAGCCCCTCGTCCCCATGCTGCTCCTCCCTCCCAGGCACACGGCACAGCCCCTCGTCCCCATGCTGCTCCTGACTCCCAGGCACACGGCACAGCCCCTCGTCCCCATGCTGCTCCTCACTCCCAGGCACACGGCACAGCCCCTCGTCCCCATGCTGCTCCTGACTCCCAGGCACACGGCACAGCCCCTCGTCCCCATGCTGCTCCTGACTCCCAGGCACACGGCACAGCCCCTCGTCCCCATGCTGCTCCTCCTCCCAGGCACACGGCACAGCCCCTCGTCCCCATGCTGCTCCTCCCTCCCAGGCACACGGCACAGCCCCTCGTCCCCATGCTGCTCCTGACTCCCAGGCACACGGCACAGCCCCTCGTCCCCATGCTGCTCCTCCCTCCCAGGCACACGGCACAGCCCCTCGTCCCCATGCTGCTCCTCCCTCCCAGGCACACGGCACAGCCCCTCAGAGGTGTGTGGGGTAGCAGAGGCCCATCACAAAGCCCAACAACACTACGAGCATTTGTGATGGAAGTTGATGTACATCATGTTTCAATGCCCATATACCGTATGTCCTGTTTGATCAAAACCAGTGGCGAACCATGACTATAGGACCTAGGCCTTCAGAGGGACCAAAAATCTTCCAATACGCTGTATCAAAATCACTTAATGCGCCTGACATTATATATTCTGTTGTCGGACCGTTCTAGTTGTAGTGAAGGAGGAGCAATGCTTTTGGATGACATTATGAATTAATCAAACAGGCCTGGTCGCGCTTTGGCCTCCCGCACACACAGAGACCGAACCGGCATGGACAGTGGACACAACGTGACACAAAGCATAAAATAATGCAACCAGCAAAACCAAAAACACACTGTTTACACAACCTATGGTAGCCTAACACCACTATCACCAATAGCAACAACAACAGTGTCACATCAAAGGGGACAGGCTCGTTGTGCTGAAAGGACAGCGACCGTAATACCTGTGCACTCCATGGCGCTGAAGGAGAGCCAGTTTTGGTGAAACACAGACATGGCTGACAGACAGGCAACAGCAGTCACACACAGCATCAAATCATGTTAAAGAATAAGCAGCCCATTCATTCCAGTAGGACCCATGAAATTATAACAATACAAAAGCACAACCATTTCATTAAAAAAATGAAATTAACAAACCAGCTATTACTTCCAATTACAAATATATTTTATCACGTTCATCACACTAACCGGTGATCTAAAGTTTAAATGCAACAATGTTTCACAGTCATTATTTTCGAAGAGATAGCTAACAGCAAGCGAGCAGCAACCAAAAACAGTGCCACTCACCCAGATAATTATCATTTGTAAACAAAGTTTGAAAGTTAATCTTGAAATGGGTAATGTTAACAAATTAGCAACAACATTCACCTTGAAGTTGATAACAGCTGCTGCAGCCGCCGTCGCCATTGTAACACTACTACAACACAAGCTAGCTAACATTGTCACAATACTACAACACAAGCTAACACTTTACTAGTGTTATGACTTGATCACACCTACAGCGTCATTGCGTTTTGGTACACCAGAAGTACATTAATTTCCAATGGAATGTTGCCTTGCAGAATTGCGTTGCAGTGCGTTCTGGGCAGTGGTGGAAAAAGTACCCAATTGTCATACTTTTTAATAGAAAATGACTCAAGTAAAAGAAAGACACTCCGTAAAATATTACTTGAGTAAAAGTCTAAAAGTATTTGGTTTTAAATATACGTAAGTATCTAAAATAAATGTAATTGCTAAAATATACTTAAGTATCAAAAGTAAAAGTATAAATCATTTCAAATTCCTTATATTAAGCAAACCAGACGACACAATCTTCTTATTATTATTTTTTCCGGATAGCTAAACACACACTCAGACATCATTTACAAATGAAGCATTTGTGTTTAGTGAGTCCGCCAGATAAGAGGCAGTCGGGATGACCAGAGATGTTATCTTGATTAGTGTGTGAATTGGACCATTTTCCTGTCCTGCTAAGCATTCAAAATGAAACAAGTACTTTTGGGTGTCAGGGAAAATGTGTGGAGTAAAAGGTACAACATTTTCTTTACGAATATAGTAAAGTAAAAGTTGTCAAAAATATAAATAGTAAAGTACAGATATACCCCAAAAAAATACTTAAGTAGTACTTTAAAGTATTTTTACTTAAGTACTTTACACCACTGGTTCTGTGTGGCGCATACATAGGATTTATCGAAGGTATGCATCAAATTGTATGCATAGACGGCCTGACAGAAATGGTAGCAGAAGGTGAATGTTGAACTTTTGTTGCACACACATCCAGATGATGTTGCATACCATTTCGCGCAATGACACTGTAGGTGTGTTTGAGGCGTTAGCGCGGGAAAACTACTGCTTGCACCACAGATTTTCTCTTAAACTCACTTTTTTTTTTTTAAACGGTCCCACCCATTGCAAGTCAAAATATGATTGGTTCATTCCACTGTCACTCCAAAATTCTGCTCTAATACAGTTGAATGGCAGAGGCCTTCTGTACAGCTTCTGAAGGCCTAGCCAATGGCTGGCTGAGCTAGCTAGGTTTTTCTACCCAGAGACCACCAAAGAAAATCCTGATTGAATATTTTTTTCTCTTCAGTATTAACCCTTCTCTTTCCAACACAAACTGAAGAGATGAAATCAGAAGATCATAAAAATTATTGTAAAGATGAAATAGAAATTTTATTTTATTTCAAAGAATAAATACAGTACCAGTCAAAAGTTTGGACACACCAACTCATTCAAGGGTTTTTCTTTATTTTAACTATTTTCTACATTGTAGAATAATAGTGAAGACATCAAAACTATGAAATAACACATATGGAATCATGTAGTAACCAAAAAAGTGTTAAACAAATCAAAATATATTTTATATTTGAGACTCTTCAAATAGCCATAATTTTCCTTGATGACAGCTTTGCACACTATTTTTATAAATTCTTAGGCCTTCAATGAAGGCCTAGAAGGCCCTCACGGTTCCCCACTGTTCAAAATACAGAGCAATCCTATTGCAAAAGTTGGGGCGCTTAGGTCAGAAATGGTGCATTTGTTTTCAGCCATTGGTACATGGGTTCACTACTCCCCCTACTGTTGGATTTGTAGCTTTAGAATCCCTGTGTGTTTTTTACAGTATTGATAGCCACATAAAAGTAGATTACATGTCGTTTTTCAGGTAGATAACTCAAAAGCTTTTGCATTACATTAGAATTATATAATAGAATAGTTTGTAATGTATTAGTGTGACATATTATACCTGATGGCCTGTGTTTGGTGTGTGTGTGTGTGTGTCCTCCGGCAGGCATCGACAAGGAGAATGTGGAACTCTCTCCGACCACGGGTCACAGCAACAGCGGGCGCACGCGCCACGGCTCTGCCAGCCAGGTGCAGAAGCAGCGCAGTGCAGGCAGTTTCAAACGGCCCAGCATCAAGAAGATCGTATGAGAGAGGCCCACCACTAGGGCCCCTTACTGGGGTCGCCCACGCCAGTCATCATGCTGCACTTTTACTCCAACTCTCTCTTTCTATCTCTTGTTCTATCGATCTCTCTCAGCCTTGATTCTCCTTTTTGTTTTTTTGTTTTTTTACCCTAACCTGTCCAGTCAGCCATAATTTGCTTGACGATCAAGAACTCTCTGAATATGATGCATTGTTTTGCAGTTTTGTTTATGAAACAGTCAATGTATGAGATGTCATGGAGAAGAGTCTGGCGGTTTTTATGTTTTGTCTTTTTGTGTCACATACTGAACTACATTGGAATCCTTTTTTTAAAAACAGCATAAGTTGAAAGAAAGCACTGACATTGACAACACAGCAGTAAAAGTAGGGATCATAGTATCTGAAGCCATTTTGTTGTCTGGCTTCTTTGTCTTGTTTTAATTTTGTTTCATAATGATAAGGTATTACGAGAAGACCATTTCTGAGATTTGCACAATTTTCTGTAATTCAACATGCTTGTACGTTTGTTTGTTTTTTGCCTTTTCTAAGTGTTGTTAGTAGGACATTGATAGAGCTTTGCCAATGGGGCTGAACTAGATCAAAGGACATGCTGCAGATACCTCTCATTGGGACACATGGCGATGAAGAGGCATTGGACCTTGGGACCCAGCGTTGAGGAAAGGGATCCCTCTCACCCACCAGAGAGACACTGCAGAGGGAGAGCACTACCCTGAAACACACACCATACTGGAGGAAATCGCTGAATGCCCTAAACCCTCATGTAGTAGCAACATCTGTGAAAAGCATGACCAACAACAGACATTAGTGGTTTACTATGCTGTCGAGGTGGGGGCTGGACTATCAATTGGCCCTGTTTGAGCTGTGTCGGGGACAATCTAATGATGGCCAAGCCATGTGTCTTTATTGATTAGTGATTGTCAAAGCTGTGGGGATTCCTCTGTTAGGCAGTATTTTTATTCCCACATGAGTGTCAGAGAGGGTCAACTAGGCGGCAGGTTGACGTTTTATTGTCATTAGTCTTGTCCTGGAAGCAGAACTGAGCGATTTCCCCTTAGATAGGCTAGCTGTAAAGTCAAAATTGGATATATTGTAAAGATTAATGAAAACAAAAATGTGCTTTTTGGTCTTAATTTAAGGTTGGGGTTAGCCATTAGGGTTAGCACTGTGTTTAAGGTTAGGGTTAGGTTCTATGATTTTGTGGCTGTGCAAGCTAGTGACCACTGCAGAGCTGCCTCCAGAACAATTTTCGTGATGAAAAAAACGCTGGAGGACAGCAGCCCTGCAGGTTTCAGAACTTTAGATTTTAATCAGCACCCTATTCACGTTTTACAACACTATAGTGAGGGAAAAAAGTATTTGATTCCCTGCTGATTATGTACGTTTGCCCACTGACAAAGAAATGATCAGTCTATAATTTTAATGGTAGGTTTATTTGAACAGTGAGAGACAGAATAACAACAAAAAAATCCAGAAAAACACATGTCAGAAATGTTATAAATTGATTTGCATTTTAATGAGGGAAATAAGTATTTGACCCCTCTGCAAAACATGACTTAGTACTCGGTGGCAAAACCCTTGTTGGCAATCAGAGGTCAGACGTTTCTTATAGTTGGCCACCAGGTTTGCACACATCTCAGGAGGGATTTTGTCCCACTCCTCTTTGCAGATCTTCTCCAAGTCATTAAGGTTTCGAGGCTGACGTTTGGCAACTCAAACCTTCAGCTCCCTCTACAGATTTTCTATGGGATTAAGGTCTGGAGACTGGCTAGGCCACTCCAGGACCTTTTAATGTGCTTCTTCTTGAGACACTCCTTTGTTGCCTTGGCCGGGTGTTTTGGGTCATTGTCATGCTGGAATACCCATCCACAACCCATGTTCAATGCCCTGGCTGAGGGAAGGAGGTTCTCACCCAAGATTTGACGGTACATGGCCCCGTCCATCGTCCCTTTGATGCGGGGAAGTTGTCCTGTCCCCTTAGCAGAAAAACACCCCCAAAGCATAATGTTTCCACCTCCATGTTTGACGGTGGGGATGGTGTTCTTGGGGTCATAGGCAGCATTCCTCCTCCTCCAAACACGCCGAGTTGAGTTGATGCCAAAGAGCTCAGTTTTGGTCTCATCTGACCACAACACTTTCACCCAGTTCTCCTCTGAATCATTCAGATGTTCATTGGCAAACTTCAGACGGGCATGTATATGTGCATTCTTGAGCAGGGGGACCTTGCGGGCGCTGCAGGATTTCAGTCCTTCACGGCGTATTGTGTTACCAATTGTTTTCTTGGTGACTATGGTCCCAGCTGCCTTGAGATCATTGACAAGATCCTCCCGTGTAGTTCTGGGCTGATTCCTCACCGTTCTCATGATCATTGCTACTCCACGAGGTGAGATCTTGCATGGAGCCCCAGGCCGAGGGAGATTGACAGTTATTTTGTGTTTCTTCCATTTGCGAATAATCGCACCAACTGTTGTCACCTTCTCACCAAGCTGCTTGGTGATGGTCTTGTAGCCCATTCCAGCCTTGTGTAGGTCTACAATCTTGTCCCTGACATCCTTGGAGAGCTCTTTGGTCTTGGCCATGGTGGAGAGTTTGGAATCTGATTGATTGATTGCTTCTGTGGACAGGTGTCTTTTATACAGGTAACAAGCTGAGATTAGGAGCACTCCCTTTAAGAGTGTGCTCCTAATCTCAGCTCGTTACCTGTATAAAAGACACCTGGGAGCCAGAAATCTTTCTGATTGAGAGGGGGTCAAATACTTATTACCCTCATTAAAATGCAAATCAATTTATAACATTTTTGAAATGCGTTTTTCTGGATTTTTTTGTTGTTATTCTGTCTCTCACTGTTCAAATAAACCTACCATTAAAATTAGAGACTGATCATTTCTTTGTCAGGGGGCAAACATACAAAATCAGCAGGGGATCAAATACTTTTTTCCCTCACTGTATGTCAGGGGAAGGAAAGAAGGAAAATCTGGAAAAGAGGAATAGACAATGTCCTCCTATGTTGGACATTTGGAATCGACATTTGAAATTGGCCTTAGCTTTGCGATTTGAAATATAGTAATATCTATAGTGGTAGTCTTTCTCAGTAATAATTGTCTCATTCTTGCCCCCATTTACTGTAAACACACACACACACGTACACAATACACTTTGGAGGTTGTTTTGTTCATTGTGTGCCTTTTCTAGGGTTTTCAGATCTTTATAATGAAATGAGAAATGAAGAAATTGCTTCATACAGCGTTAAAGGTATTATTGAAGATGGTTACTCTGCATAAATGTATATTTATATATACAGTTATAAGTATTGTAAACAATACCTTATGAAAGACAAGTATACAGGCATTACTAATCTGCTGCCTGATAATTGCTTTGTATGGCTAAATATGTATGTAAAACATTAACATTCGGTACATCTTGTCAAAACAAGTATTCATACACAAATTCCATGACACTAGGGACCAGATTTGCTGAGTGTTCGCATGTGCAAATGTTGCACCTGTTTTTTCAAGAATGAATGAAATGTTGAAGTCAGAACAGTAATGGCTTTTATGTTGGTTTTTATCTTGTTTTCAGTTTTCTATTTGTTTTGGGGGAAAATTGATGCCAATTATGTTCTGGTTCAAAAGCTTTAGTAAATCTGTCTCTGTTCATGTAAATAGTAAAATAATGTATTTGTTATAAAGTAATTACAATGACATAGTTATGGTTTATTTTAGAGTGAACTTTGAATTTTATAATTGCAAAAAGTATGATTTGATTTAATTGGTAAGATTTGAAATATGGATTAATTAAAAAGAAACTATGGTTGTAATTAATCACCTCGACACACACCTGCTGAATAGTGATCTCCATGTTTAAAATCGGCATAATGAAATGATGCTAAAAACCAACATTGTGAGGAATTGAGACTATGGTCAGGCTGTCTGTTCGCAGATAGAACTGTGTGTATTGGGAATACTGCTGTACAGGGTGTTATTGGCCCTTTTGCCATTGTCTTCCCCTCATTAGTCTGTAGTGTGGTATGTGTAAAGGTCTAGGCAGGCATAGGGGTCAGTTCCAAGATGCAGTGCGTCAGGCCCTCGGATGCTGCGCCAAAGACTAGCAAATCTGTTCTGTGGTTTTATCATTGTTGACTTTCTCTTGGAGCCGTTGCAGTTGGTCCAATAGGCCTTGCACAGATAGATAGCGTGTGGTAAACAGAGACTTTCCTTTCTCTAACAACATGGTGCAGTTTGTTAGGCAGCAGAGGAGTTCTCTGATCACACCATTCCATTTCCTCGTGGAGCCTGGTTCCTCTTTTCTGCTGTTTGAAGTTGTGTACCAAGAAACCAACCAGTGCCATACACTGAGTATCTCTATGAAGTCATGGTTGTTTTGGAAGCTTGTGCCAACTCCTTCAGAATGTTTTTGTAAGTGTGCTTTTTAACATTTGTTATTCCTGGGGTCAAACACAATTCCATTAGATGTTTTTGACTTGCTTAGGAGAGCATGTGCATTAAGTGAATTATGTAAACTGAGTAGGAGTCGGTGTATAGAGATGGGGGAGGGAGGATATGAAGACTGACAGTTTGTAAAAAGAAAATAAAAAAAACACTGGGTAGTGAATATTTTTAGTTTTTCACATACATCCAGACATTTTAACAATCAACAACCATGCTCAACCTTACATTTATTTTCTTATTCTATTAATCTGGTTTAGATTGGACATGATGACCACAAGAAAATGAACAAAGTGCACACTTAGTTTTTTCCAAAATCAAAGTGTGTTGGTGCTGTTGAGAGGTAATGAACCTTGTGTAATGAAGTTGATTCCAATGCCTAGATTTTGTTTACAAACGTTAATATACTTGAATCAGGAGGATATATGTCTAGAAGAAGCAGTTTCTCATCATTGAAAGGGAAAGAATTCAGCTTTTAGAAGTCAAATGGAACAAGTTTACCAAACACAATCAACAACATTTCAAAAGATGAAAGGAAACCAAAGTTTAGGAACTGCAATATAGTACACACACAAACTCGGAAACTACTGTATTTGATAAACAGTCCTCTGAGAGAAGTCTAATGTACTAATCCACAACTTAGTTTGCTT